CTATAATAAAAACTTACACATGCTTTACAGAGACTTATTTTCATCACTGCTTAAACTATACTCTCATTTTTGCTCTCTAAGATTTGTTTTGATCCCTACTCTTTCAGAAGGTAGAGCTACCTCTTATATTAAAAATAACATATGCATGTCCTTTTGTCAGTTCAAATATATAGTTACAAAACCCTGATTTGAGGATTAGTTGTTCTTAGGAAAGGCCATCTAGAAGGACTTTCAGGGCCGGCCAATATTCAGCCTTACATTCCTTTGAAGCAAAGAAAGGGGAGAAAAAGAAAGAAGGAAAGGGCACACACGATGGTATTTTAGAAATATATAAGAGCATGAATATTTCTATTAAGGCAACACAAACAACACACTTCAGAGCTATTAAACAGCCTGAGGTAATGCAACCCTGAAAATAAGGCTGAACTGAAACGATGTCTGTAGGCGGTTATTCGTAACAACAAAGGCGAGCGCTGCTCCCTTGGCTGGAGCCACACGCGGCCCCGCTGCTGAGAAGCGACGCGCAGAGCCACCGCGCAGCCCAGTCATCTCTTAAAAATGAGGAGAGTTGGAAAACTTTATTTGCAGGCACGCTCGGCACTTTCAAATTTTTCAGGAAAATGGTAAGAACTGAACACGGTCAACAGTTTCAACTGCAGGTCTAAGAAAAATGCTGTGTTTTATGTGATCTGAGAAAAGCGCATGGATCTACGTGCACTTCCAGATACCCACAGTGAGGATGTTTTCAATAACCTCTGATTTCTCACCAAGTCTGCTTTTCCTGGACGAAACAGCCAGGCAAAGAAAGCTCAGCTGAAAGCCCAGTCCCCACCTCAAGTCTCAGAGAATTTTACAGGCCCATGAATCGGGTCTGTTTTGTATCATCTTTCAAGAAGATGTGTCCATGCAGCATATTGTTGAAGCTGTTAGGCAAAATTTAGCCTAATGTTGGATATGACTTTTTACCAGGCTGAAATTTTGCTTTTTTTAAAAAAAAAAAAAAAAAAAAAAAATCACTTTTTTTAAATCTCCCTTTGTGCTAGCTCAATTAGGTTGCTCACCCAAGTCAGCATTATTTTTAAGGAAGACTTTTAAAACTGTGACTACTGGGCAGAACCCACACACTTCTCAAGGAGTAAAGACAGGTTTCCCTCCTGCAATCACTGCTCTAATCCTACACACCTCAATGCAGGTTATCAAACCCGATCAGTGAGGATGCGAGCAAGATAAAAGAGTGGTATTACTGCAAGCAAAAATCAACCTCCCTGTGGACACTCCATGAGTGTTCTAGATGGGCATCAAACCTTCCTTCTCATGTACTTAATAAGATGTTCTTCCTGCATAAGGTGCCACAGCACTGTGCTTTTATTTTAAATCAAATCTAGAACAGATTATGTACAACAAGGGGAAGAAAGTGCCCTTCTCTAAAAAAAGGTGTTTTCAGCTTTTTTTCTTTTCATAAATGAGGGGCAGCGATGATGCTGACGATACCAGAGCACGTCCACGGCTAAAGCTTTGTCATCTCCTGACCTGTGGCATGATGGCACCCCTCTGGCAGACAGACAGTGGTGAAACATCATCAGCTATTCATCGAGATAAGGCTTAGATAAAGAAGCGGCCTGTAACGCTGCCCAGCAGGTATCCTGGTGAATACATTTTGGGAGCCCTTGCACATGGCATTCTGCCATTAAAAGCCAGGAGAGGCCTAGAGACAAATTCCCCCAGGTCCCTCTGGGGAGGCTGACACTGAATTTATCGGCCAGAATTTCAGTCATCCACTCAACGGCTACACTCCAGAAGCATAAGATGAATAGGTAGCTATGGTGAACTTTGAAGCCTGCAGGTCAAAGTTCTCTCTCATTATCCCCACCATTTTCTATCGGTGCAGCTCCTTGGCATCCCAAGGGATGGGAAGGTTTGAGGCTCTTGAAAAAAAACCTGACAAGACCAAGTCAGAAAACAGTAGGGTGCTTATGTACATATATTTTTCTTTCCCCGTTTTTCTTTCCCCCCACTTTCCTGAAAAGAAAGAATATGAATTTAGCTATTGTGTCAAACGTCAACCTGGTGGCATTAGCAGTTACTCGTTTAGCTGGCACAATACAGCAGTCATTTCAACTCGCTGCCCTGCCAAACAGGCCTGACCCTTCCAGTGACACCTCCTCTTGTAAGTACTAATTTGATTTTTCACTCCCCACCCCAAACCCTTTCATTTTTGTAGCCAATCCTTTCAAGGAGGACGACAGTACTGATTCCGGCAATACAGACACATTCTCTATATTAAAAACATTGCCTTTGCGCCTGAGTCACCACTGAACGCTTCCGAGAGATAACTCATCCACTTCTGGCCAAATCTCATGCAGTGATATTTAATACATCGCTCACTATCAGTCATTAAATATTATAATACGTTCTTCCATTGCGGGTGTTACGTTCTGACTCAAACCACAGTGTGGAAAGACCAAATTATCTTCTAAATTTACTTCTTCCGCCACCACTAGAGGCCAGTCCACCTTTCCCTACCAAATTACAACTGTGAAATTTTGTTTAACCAAAATGACCTGTAGCTTGAAATAATCCAAATCTAAGAGGTCATTTTAGAGTCAGGCTTTTTATGAGTTTAGGAAACTGACTTTAGACAGCTAACAAAAGTTCTCTTCTTCGATGCTATTTGAGGAGGGAAGGTTGGTAGGAATAAGGTCCTTATTTTTCAAAACACTGTATGAAATTATCTCAAATGACAATGTAAGCACAGCATTAAAAATGTATCAGTTTCTTTGGCTTGCTGCGAAATAAAGCAACACACAGTTACAAATAAACAAAAACTACAAAAAGCAAACCTGAAACACACTGTCCCAGTCCTGTTTGGGGGGAAAACCCATTCACTTGGCAATACCCAGGAGGAAATTCTTTCCTGCCTACAAAGTTTTGTACAAACTGCACTGGGAGTGCAACTGACTTCAAGTACCTGTTCCTGTCTCTGCCTTAAATCAGCATCACTTATAATACAAACAATGTCAGAGAAAAATTGAGAACCCTAGACACTCCTAGAGTCAATTCAGTGTCTCAAGAAGCCCATGAAGAAGTACATTTTCCTCAGGAGCTTCTTGTGAGCTAGGAGCCAAGCGTGGTCCCTCACCACTACCTACTCACTCACAGCCAAGGGAAAAGTAGCACGTTACGAACCTCTCTGATCTACGCAATAAGGTCTGAGCAAACGGAAATACGGAGTCATGTACCTTTTTCTCGGGGTGGAGGGGCGCGGTGGGGGATAGAGGGAAACAATTACAGGCTAGTAATTACTTCTTCTTTAAATGGATTCTCTCTAATCTCCAATGGATTTACCTCTAATCTCAAAGTAATTACCTCTAATCTCAATGGATTCTCACTCTGGGGGACACTAAGCAGCTCCAGGGAAGCCTACAGAGAAGAAGTACTCTATTGTCTGCAAGAGGTAATGAAAAACTAACACGTGTACAGCAACCATCAGGAACAATAGAGCACTTCTACAAAGCAAGGAAGGGACTCCGGCGGAGATAGCGCAGTTTGCCTCCTCCTTGCTTGATGACCCCGAGTTGGCCAACACCATCTATGGGAAACTCAAAGTGGAAGCTCCACAGGGGCTGCCTCAAAGGCCAGCAGTATCCGTGCCTCCCTTCCGTGAGCAAGGCCAATACACAATTCAGGTATTTTGGGACTATTTCACGGTAGAATTAAGGGCACTAAGAGCGGCCAAACAGGATAGACAGACTTGCACAGCTTCACAAAACAGAACAGTGAAAACCTTGCTCCAGAACACAAGGGCTGAGGAGCAAGCAAGGCCTGGAAGCCAGTTGTCATCTAACTTATTAAATATTTTTTAAGAGACATGGATGCAACATCAGAATCTACAGCAAAGCATTATTATGGCAGGACCCGAGACTATGAAACCTTGTGTCAAGCCAGAGGAAGTGCTAATATTGAGCAAATAGGGAATAGCCAGCCTGTGTTGCAGGCACAGCATCCTCAGACATCACCCATCTAAAGCACAAATTTTCTCACACAGGTCCATATGCTCCAGAGCATATTTAAAGAAACACATCTGATTAAAAACGCAATTTTCACTCCTTAATGAAAAACTGCCCCAAGAGCTCAAAACGACACCAACAGGTTTAAAAAGAACCAGCCTAAAAATGTCACAACTGGCCACCCTCTGATTTTCATACTTGGGATGACAATAAAATAAAAGACCAGATACGACCTAAAAGACTTGGTGATGGTTGCACCACAGTTTTGTATTTTACTGCTGCCTGTACTACAGAGCAAAAGAAGGAGTTGGGCATCTCCTTGGAGTTTAAAGATCTGGAGTCTCCACGTTGGCTCTGTCTTTTGAAACACCCTGGTATGGAATGAGCTCTCACAGAAGTCAACCTTCCTCCTGTTGGCATGGCTGGGGCAAATGAGGTGGGTGAGGTCTGAGTTAGACCATTGTGCTCTCTCCACTCCACAGACTGCATCTAGGGATTGTGCTACAGCTGCACACACTGAGAGGGACAGACAGGATCATTGGGCAGAGACAACAATAGATGCCTTAACATGAAAAAGTTTTACAGCAAACATTTTAATAGCTATGCCATTTTCAAAAGGCTGCTCAGAATTACTTCTGAATAAACCGTAACCACTGCACGCTGACAAATACCAGAAATTGTCCTTACTCTTTACTGCTTCTAGAACACTGATGCTTGTAAAATGCTTCTGGTTTTTAATCCTGAGATTGACAACAACTCCATAAAACCATAAGCACAATATAAAAGTTCCATGGGATTCAAAGAAATTTGATTGTACTCAGATTTGTGTCAGGGAATTTTATTTCAGACTAAGCCTTTCTGAGAGGGAGGGGAGTAAAGAGGGAGAAAGAAGCTCCTCCACCAAAGAGGGCTCAACAAAAACACTTCAGGATGAACTCAGTGCTTTATTGTGGCCTGACGTTGCTGAGCACTTGGAGAACATGTTATACTTACATGTAAACTAGGGTGGTAGGTCAGCACGCCATTGTCACACAACGTGACATATTTCTTCTTCCACTCTTTGTTCAATGACTTCCCGCTTCGCTTTAGCAGCATACCCTATCAGAGGGAAAAAGAAAAAAAAAGATTAAATGCTCTTTTGCCAACATGCAGCTATTTAAGACGCAGAAAGAGATAAATATAATTGCCAACATTTTTAGATACGCTCTTGCAAACGACTCATTTTCCGCTGCTTTTCCCATGATGCACGCTTTCTCCATTGGCAGTTTCAGTGTTTGCAATTTAGGAGGCAAAGCTCTACGTGCAGCTTTCATAAAGCAGGTCATGTAAACCGAAAAGACTGTATCAGCCCTGGCTTTGTCGACACATAGCAAAACCCCTTTTGCACTGAATCCCATGCCTTGGGAAAGCACATTTTAATGTGACACAGAGCAGGGTTATGCACTCCTAGTGGATAAAGACACCACGCTCAGTCCTCTAAACTAACTGACTCAAGCCCAGGCTGAGTGAGGATCCCAGTGTGTGGCTTGTGCTCCCTTCAGCGTGTTGCTGGGGATTCCCTGTTGTCCGGGCTCAGTCTCTCCACAAGCAGGGAAGAGCACCTCGTTCTGTTCTCATTCCCTCTGCAGTAAGGAGACACCACAGTGGAAATCGCGCTAGCTACTTGCTCCAGCACGAGAGGCACCAATTCCAGCCAAGAGTAGCAAAATGGAAACAGGGCAAATACAACGTTTTTCCAAGAAATCCTGGATAATTTAATGAAAAGGTGCAACCAGTGCAGAGAGGAGGTGGGGGCAAAGTGACTCACCTTTCCACAAATCGTATTCAACCTAAACGTCAGTGATGAATGTTAATGATCAACAGTGGAGTCATCATTGTGTTCAAATGGACAAAGACTACCTGTGTGTATTAAACCTGCCAGGCCATGCTTTAGCAATGCATTTGCCTAGAAAATTTTAATTTCCAAAATCAAGTCAGAAGGCAGTTCCTAAGGATCTCCTACAGCACTTTGGTTTTTGAAAGTCTTACAGAAACTTCCCAGTGGAGACACTACTTACTGCATCTACTCACAGGAACTCACTGGTTCCACAGTTCAGCTTCTGACAAAAGCAGACACTTAGATTCATTTTATTAAGTTATAGCCATTAATCTAAACCAATACAAACTTCAGTTCCCATAAAATGAGTTTTCCATGGAACTTAAAAAAATGGGAAACTCAAACATATAAAGATGCACTATCAACCAGGGTGCCTCCAACTCTCATTTTGTTAAAGTGAGATAAAACCCTGAAAGCAAGTTATGCTAATTATTTTCCCATTAAACTTGCATCTTTATAAAGCAATCTCTCTGCAGACCCAACCCCAAAGTCTTGAGGGGAAAACGGGCAGTTCTGTGCAAGCAGAAGTCCTCCAGAGTCAGATAAATTCTAGATGTTACAACCTTCAGTTCTAGTCCCATACCACGATGGTATGAACTAACAACTCTCCTTTTGCAACCACAGAGATGATTCCAGTGGAAAAGCCAAGTTTCCAGCTGCCCGTTTCTGGACACACACTTCAAAGCAATCTGTGGATGGGACCATAGAGACAAGCTTGTGTCAGAGGACTAAATTACACAGCAGTAGAAGCTCCGAACTTTCTGACCATCTAGGGGTCACATTTCTACTTTTTTTTTTATTTTTCTTGGTGCTATTCCTTCCTACAACTCAAACTTTTAAAAGAGAGAATAGAGTTTCTGAAATGCTTTCTTACAAAAGCTTCTGCGAGTGCGAGTCGCGCATCCCAATTACCGTCTTCCAGTGGTCAGAGGCGTTGTTTTCTTCTATTAAAAAAATGAAAGCTTATTGCTGCCTTTGACTGGTATGTTTGTCTATAGTAGGTGATCTGTCGCTTCACCTTTCCAATCTTTCATACCTCACCTGCAGCACGTTTGCTGGCGTTTAGGGGGACCCAATTCTAGTTATCACTGTGCTGTGGGGATCAAAAATTACTGCTTCCCTGCACCGGTTTGTTCTTCAGACCTTTTAATGGGGAAAAAGCTGTAAGGATCACAATGGTCTCTTTTTTTCTTTTTCCTCCCTCACCTATTTTTGAAGTTTGGAAGAAAATAAAATATATATTTCACACCTTTTTAACTGTCCTTTGCTATACAGAAAACCTGTCATTACTTCCATAATTTTCAATCCATGACAATTATAAACTCAATTAATAGTAAAAACCAACCAGTTCAATGGCTTTTACTACGCAAAGTTTTGCTACTATCTAAGCATAAATGATAAAATTCTATTTTCAGATCTAAAAAAGGAAAATTATTCAAAATGAGGTTTCACCTTACTTTTCAAGTAGAATTCTGTGCTTTCATGTAAAAACCTCAAACCCTCAGTATTAAACATGGACAATCTACCTAATTGTGCCCAACTAACAAATCAGACTTTCCAAACCATTTTCTTTAGGTCCTACCTTGGCAAAAATAAAACAGTTTTCACATTTTGTGAGAGTTGAAAATAGCTTTTGGTACCTGCAGAAGAAACTGCTCTGAATAGGAGAAGCTAATAAAGTGTTACAAAGTAGAGAAGACCAAGTAAATCACAATTTTTTTTTCCCCCAAAGCCAGAGACCACCGCTTTGTCTGTGGTAGAGTGGTCTGGAGAAATGCTTTTAGTGTCAAAGTTTAGATCAGTTATAAAAATGAAACATCTTATCCTTGGCACTGTCTCTGGGCATATAAAGGATAAGAAGGTTATTAGGAGCAGTCAGCACGGCTTTGCCAAGGGGAAGTCATGTTTGAGCAACCTGATAGCTTTTATGAAGACATAACCAGGTGGATGGGTGGTGCCCATGCAGTGGATGTGTCTATCTGGATATTAGCGTCTCCCACAGCATCCTCATAGCTAAACTG